TCCCACAGAGGAGACCACCAAAGGATGGCATTAAGATCTCATGGGCTCAGGTGGGCAGCTTTTAGCCAGACACTGAGCCAGGCACTCACATGGTCTGGAGGATGATAAGCGTTTGGCAGTGGGGACAACAGCCAGCTCCTCTGTGGGCCTGTCTGCATAGGGGGAAGAGGAGGGGAGTGTCTCTGGTTGGAGATCTTCAAGCTGTTTCTATAAGCAGGAGGAGCTCGATCTGCAGCGGGCAAGCAGGCCCACCCGTTTGGCACCCACGGGGAGCTTTGAGGGAACCTGGCTCAGGGTTGTCCTAGCCTTCCCTTCCCCCCTGTAGCCTTCTCTCCCCCCCCCAAGCCCCTCTCGTCCTCCATCAGCCTCCCAGGGCATGCTGCTCAGATGCTTTATTCGTAAAGGCGGCTGCATCCAGTAAAACCCCGCCAGCCCCGCCCGTGGCACAGACCAGGGTCATGTGGGGTGATCAGTAGTTTTCCCGTCTTTTCCGGACCACTTTGGGCTTGATGTTCATCCGCCTCCATATGGCAGCCGTGGAGCGATCGAGCTTGGTGACGCCGCTGAAATCAAAGGTCTTCAGCTGGGGCAAGGTGGACAGGACGTAGCTCCTGGGAGAAGAGACAGAGTCTCCGTCATTTCCGATCCCAGCCGAGCTCCGACCCGCGCGGAGGATCAAAGGAGGGTTAAACCTGCAGCTTTTCTCCCAAACCTGTGGGCAGAGGGCGCGGTTCCATCTCTGGAGCCTTAAGTCTTCCCCTGGTCTCGAGGCGAGCGCGGTCCCTGTGGCCTGGCCTCGTGTTTCTACGGTATGACCCAGCGGCTCGCAGGGTGCCCCCAGTTGTAGCACTGAAGGCAGGAGAGGCCGTTGCTGTGGCACACGTTAATATGTGAACTAGTGTGTGTGTGTGTGGGGGGTGCTTGTGCTTCTGCTGCTTTGAGAAGAGCAAGCCCTGCAGTACGGCGATGGCTGGCCCTAACTCTGGAGGAGAGTAGAACCGGGTAGCCCAACTACCACGGCTTCTGGCAGGCCAGCTCTTCTGCAGCCCAGCTTTCCAAGGAAAGAACAGCTCCTGTTCTTTCTAAAGCCTAGTTATGTTTCACTTAATAAAGAAGACATTACCAGGCAGAGGTCAACAAGCAGTTTATTAAAGACATGCCCGTTTATCTGCATCTCTTGTTCTGGCATCTCAGCAGAATTGGGAGATGCGAAGGCCAAATACCCCTGGCTAGCTGCTGTTCTGCAGGAAGGGAGGCCATCAGATCAAAAACACAAGTGTCTCCCTAAAATGCAACAGGTTTGGACGGTGTGCCCACCCGTCAGCCAGGGGTAGCACCCCCTGTATTGGTCCAGCAGCCTTTCTGAAATGCTAGACTGGAGGGTGCAACTGATGCCAGGGCCCTAAGGAAGAACTGAAGCCTGCTCCATCCATCCATCCGCACACTCTTTCTACCCTATTGTCCTCTGTGACCCCTGCAAGTGGGTCTCCTTTTTGGACTGGAACTGGCTCGTCTAATCTCAGGCGTTTCAAAGGCTCTCCAGCCCAGGAAGATTTTTTGATTTGATTTGATTTGATTTATATCCCGCCCATCTGGTCTGGTCGACCACTCTGGGCGGCTGTCGGCACCAGGCGAGGTTTCCCTTAAGAGAACCATGTCATGCCACTGTGTATAGCAGCAAAAGGGCTCTGGAGCAGCCTGTGATCTTTACACTCCCCTCCGGCAGGCCAGCTGTAAGGTGCTGTTTGCAGGGCACGGCAGTTCTGCTAGGCTGCAAAGCGACTCCTTTTATCAGTGCCGGGGCCCTGCTGAAATTTCCAGGGGTGGGTTGGTGAGGGAAATTCAACTTCGAGAGGCTGCTGCAGCTAAACCTGCCAAGAATCTGTCATCACTTTAAAAACCACCAAGATTTACTGGGCATCACCCACCGTTTTGGGGGCTTCAATTCACTGCGTCAGGTATATGGAATGTTACACCGCACCCACCCCTCAGACAGGGCCTGCGTGCATGAGACCGATAAATGTGTATAACAGAAATAAAAAAGTTCCTAGTCTCCCAGTGGTCTGGCAGAAGTCCACAAACACTCAGGCCCAAGAAAACTTGTTGGTCTTTAAATGTCACAAGATCCTCTAGTTGC